AGAGGATACTGCTAAATGCCTTTGATATGAACGGAATGGGCCACGTGAGGTATGTCGCTGTTTGAATTATGCGTCGTTCATGTTCGAAAACATACAAAGCTCTGAAGGTCGAAAGAAAATACACGAGTCTTCATTCAGCTTACTAATTTCCTATAGTCCCGGCCAATGGCAGAATCCAGAAGACAGATCTGTCACGAAAAATCGTCTGGATTACTGGGTTGAGCTCGCGAAACTTTTGGAGCGTGGGAAATTCAATGCTCTGTTTTTAGGTAAGTGTGAAGCTATCCTTACGAGCATCGCCATGAGCTAATAGATCGGTAGCTGATAACTTTGGCACACATGACATCTACAAGGGCAGCCACGAACCTGCAATCCGGTCTGCAACTCAGTGGCCATTATACGATCCGTTTGTCATTGTATCCGCCATGGCGACCGTAACTAAGAATCTCGCCTTTGGAATCACTTCGTGTACAACGTTCGAACCGCCGTTTTTGCTCGCTAAGCGCTTCTCAACTTTGGATCATGTCACCAATGGAAGAATGGGATGGGTGAGATTACCAGGTGCTCCCTAAATATCGATCACAAGCTGACAGAACTTAGAATGTGGTGACTTCTTGGTCAAATACTTCAGCAAGAGCTTTAGGCTTAGAGGGTCTTCCCGAGCATGAGACACGCTACGAGATTGCCGAGGAATATTTAAACCTTGTCTATAAACTCTGGGAAGGGTCCTGGGCAGACGACGCTGTAATCAGAGACAGTGCAACACAAACATACGCTGATCCAGCGAAAGTCAGGAAGGTGGAACATAAGGGAAAGTATTTCAAGTGCGTCAGCGCACATCAGGTGGATCCGAGTCCTCAGCGAACTCCAGTCATATTCCAGGCTGGAATGTCCTCGTAAGTACCAACCGCATGTATACGCCTGTCTTGTGCTCACATGTAGCAGAACCGGGTCAGCCTTTGCTGCAAAGCATGCGGAGTGTGTGTTTCTCGGGGGGCGTAGTGCTGCCTTTGTCGGTGAAAAAGTCCGCAAAACTCGGGCACTGGCGGCGGCTGCTGGGCGGGATCCCAACAAAATCAAATTCTTCACACAGTTCACTGCTATCCTTGGAGAAACTGATGAGGAAGCGCAAGAAAAGTATGACAGACATTTCAAGTATGCTTTACCAGAGGGGGGCTTGGCCTTATTTGGAGGTTCCTCGGGAGTCGATATCAGTAGATTTCCTATTGATGAGGAATTCCCTACTGACCCGAATCATCCCCTACTGAAAGGGTTGTCACAACCGCAAATAGAAAGGCTACTTAATAAGCCTACGGGATATACATCCTGGACGCCCCGACTACTCACCGAATACCACGCTGTTGGTGCAAGTGGGAACGTCAGTGTCGGGTCTGCTGTTACAGTAGCGGATGAGATGGAAAGGTTCATTCTCGAATCAGATATTGATGGATTTAATATCGGGCATGTTGTAGTGCCACAGGCTTGGGAAGATGTCATCAAGTATTTGATTGCCGAACTAGAGAAGAGAGGTTGGCTTGGAGAAAACGGCCACGAGTACCCAGTCCCAGGTGGCACTGCACGGGAGAACCTTTACGGAGTCAAAGGAGAGAGCCGACTTCATTCAACACATCCTGGAAGTCAATATAAGTTCGATGTCTATCCTGCTGAGCCAGAAGAGACTGTTGAGTTTCTAGGCATTATCAATACTAAGCAAGGTGTCTTTACTCACCACTCAAAATAATCAATGATAGTTCTGCATAAATGATGTAACGTTTTGAACTTATAATAAGTCTTATTACATAAATGCTCGAGAGAACTTTCGAGTAAACCAGTTCAGAACATAACATCCAAATACGTCCCCGTCCCGAGTGCGTGAACATGCCCTCTATTGTACCCAAATTCTGTTTCTAGCAAAAAAGAAAGTGGGCAATTTCCAGACAACAAAGCTTCATGGAAACACTATTATCTATGTTTTCCATCATCATATCACGGATCTACACGGCTGGAATATGAGGGTTGTTTCTTGCACAGTAATCTCGATACAATGGCCCCGTCGTGGCAAGCTGGCTCAAGATTATTAAACTAATTCTAAAACAGACTGTGGCGTATACTTGAATGGATCTGGCTTCCTTAAATTGACATCAAACGAACCGATACCAATGCGCTCATATTGTGCTGTTCCTGTTGACATACCATTAACCTGTCGGAGTATCAGGAAATGCCCAAGATGAATTGGATCTATACCAAGAATGCCCATTACGCCGACCCCTGGCACTACTTCCTTATCCTTCTCTTTACCGTAGCAGAGCAATAAACATGGCGCGGAAAAGGTGCTACAGCTGTCAGGAAGTTGATGTTCCTCATCCAAGTAGCACCTCGCACAAGAAAATTGGTCTTGGCCCGCAAGGGCCCAAGTATTATGATCCCCTATCTTATCAACAATGAAGCCGAAAGCATCTGGATTGGTTTCACTGGGAACTATGTGTGGACAGAGCTCAAGAGTCTGTACTTGCCCTTGTATAATCAAGGTAGTGGACTCGAGCTGGGAAGTGAGGGACAACTTCTGCCACATCACATCTAGGTGAAGAATTTTGATATGGTGGGACAGAATCTGCTGGTCTGGTCCTATCAACTCGTATATTGGGGTTTGCAAGAATGTGAACCATGACCAAGTCGGTACGTTTTTCACAGTGGTCCGCGACGGGATCTGCGGAAGCTGGCGCGCCGTTGGGCGACCTCTCCCGGAGTTGATATGCCAGCATAGCCCACTAATTAAAGATTCTCGCCACAGACCAAGACATGGCGTCCATTTGGTATGATCATGGAAGTACTGAGTAATTCCGGCAGTAGCGGCAAGCCAGTCTCCGGGCTTTGTCAGTTGTCTGCTGCTGTAGTCTCGGATCCAACTCCACCAAATACGATCAAGTTCTTCGTGATCTGTCGTCAATGACGAGAGGGGTCTTTGGGACATTGCTCGAATACTCGCAAATTTTTCACTCTGGAACACACCGTCCTCGGAGAAGTATAGTTCTCGACATTGCCAATATAACTGTTGAGACGTGAAATGAATAGTCCTGGGTGATAAAACTAATTCCTGTAGAACCCACGCCCGGGAGTTTAAAGGCGAATTGTGCAACGCCGACGCGTGAGATCCAGGACACCTGACATAAATCGGCTCACGCTCAGCCTGACTTTCAACACGCGTGGGTGGCTCAAGCGTGTCTAAATAGCAACCGTCGCGACCATCTGTTGCGCTCGCAGCTGCGATCGTGAGATAGCTGCCTTGGAATACAGCTCCCATACGAGATGATTCCGTTTGCCAGTCTGTAAAGTCGTTTTGGATGATGCATAAAGAGTCTATCCAGATATACCTAATTCCAAGCTTCCGGGTAATGCTAACCGCATCTTGATATGTCTTGGGTAATGCCGCATAGTCTATCACCTGCCGTCGACTCGCTTCATTGTGCGTTGTTGTCATGAAATGGTACCTGGAGTCCGCTCCCCAGCAATGGCTAAGCGCTGTATAGGTCATCTCCTCGGCACTGTGAAATTCCGTGACGTCCACCAACCGTACTATATCAGACCGGCTACCAGGTAATACATCGACAAGTCTTGTTGGCTTCCCGTGGCTTTTTGTCGAGCGACACATGGGATGGTTCTTACGACATTCGCTTATCCAGGCCCGAATGAGATCCAATCTCGATTGCTCAATTTGAGTCTTATCGACAATAGGTGTCCAAATTGCTCGACTCAACAGCCCATCCAGACTTGCCTTCGGATGAAGTTCTGAGGCGTCATGAGGCTGAGAATCGTGGCCGAGATGAAAGTTCTCCAAGGCATGCGAGCCGTGCTCATCGACTTTATTCTTGACTAGAAACTCAGACACCACTTCATGAAATCGTCCCGTATGGCACGAAACAGACCTAGTGAGAATACCATAGGGTCGCAGATCACTTATGTAGTTCGCTGCTTGGCCTCGCGGCCGAATATCATCAACTCGGAAGTCAGTAATCCCGCCAGGGGCACCTGCAATGTTGTTGTTAAAGAGCGGAGGCTCGGCCTCCATAGTACGCAGTATTGCAGCGCATAAGAAACATGATGTAGCAGAATTCTGAAGCTCGGACAAGTTATTGTGATGATCCGTCGGCTTATCTAACAAAGCCTCTGTGCAGAGCATACACAGCCGCTCCATCGCGTTGTTCTCATGTCGACATTGGTGAGGCTTGAGGTTGCCTGCTAGCTTTGCTTTGGCCTGTCGCTGATTTGGCACCAATGGCAGCGTGACGTGGTTACTTACCCCTCAACCAAGAGAAACGCACGCAGGTAAAGGATGAATAGTTTGGAATGAACAACGGCATTTATACGCAACTGGGCCATGATATTTTGGAGATATTTTTGGCCTATAGAATGGAGCAAATCGAGTATGGTGACTCTGTCAATCAAAACGGGGCAGAATAGTCATACATCAGTCTCCGTGTGTTTGTGGAATTGCAACAATAGTTATATAGTTCAATTCGCGCACAGGGTTCTCAGCTGGGCAAACAAGTGACTTAATTGACATTCTTAACATTTTGAAAACGATTCTGTCATATACGGGGCATTCCGATAATTAAGCACGGAACAGCATGAAGATGTTTAAGCGGACAACTACCAGTACAAATTGTCGAATAGAGACTTTGGTGAATGTTATCGTCGCTCGGTGTTGTAAATGCTCCGAGCGGCATCTAGCGTCGTCATCTAGGCTCAGGTCAGTAGGCTGGCGGCGCTGTATCATACCGGCACAGCACTACGGACCCCCACGAGGCGAATTTTTAAGCAAGAGGGAGGCATTAACCAAAACCTGTCTTGCTGTATCTCGTAGCTTGACTCCCTCCATGATAAGAGCCTTGCCCAGCCATTTCGTGTTATTTCGCCCCGTGTCGAGTCTGTCATTCGTATTTCGCTAAGGCACCGTCATGGATCGATCTCGTCCCACTAACAGACGCACCACCTGTCGTCCCATGGCCCAGGCCATCTTCCAGCGCTTCTGGGATGTTGACGTGAAGTCTGGCGTCTCATCCCCCAGCTACCCAGTCATCTCCAGCATCCCTCACACATCCGACGATCGACTGGCTCAAGCTTCACCGTCGATATGTCCAGACGAGCCTGTTCCCGCTGCATCGGCTCAAGGCGTCGCCTCCGATAGCTCCTCCTCCACAGTCCTGTATCTCGCGTATGGCTCCAACCTATGCGCAGAGACCTTCCTCGGGCAACGTGGCATTCGTCCGATCAGCCAAGTCAATGTCTCCGCGCCTTCTCTGCGCCTGACATTCGACTTGCCCGGCATCCCGTACAAGGAGCCGTGCTTTGCAAACACCGCCCCGCGCAAGACCCCCAAGCCTCCGAAGCTGCCGCCGAAGCTGCCAGACCCGCCATCGAAGCTCCCCGAGCCCCCGTCCGAGCTCCCTAGCCCGCCCGACATGCGGCCACCGCCTCATAACATCCCTAGCCTGCCAGGCCAAGGAGGGAGTCCGCATGCAAGCCAGCACGGCGACCCGGTGTGGGACAAGGGCCTTATTGGTGTGGTGTACGAAGTGACAGCTGCCGACTATGCCACGATCGTGAAGACGGAGGGCGGCGGCGCGAGCTACCAGGACATTCTGGTGCCCTGCTTCCCGCTGCTGCCGAATGTTGGCGTGCCTGAGAAGCCGCCGATCCCAGAGCTCCCAAAGCCGTTCCTGGCGCACACGCTGTATGCGCCTTTGGTTCCTGGTGGAGGCAAGCAGCCCGAGGATGACGAGTCGGCAGCGGTAAGGAAAGGCAAGCTGCTCAACGGCGGCGACGACCCGGAAGAGCCAGATGACCCGCGCAAGAAGTGGCAAGACTGGTGGAAGAAGCTCTTGCTGCAGCCGGTCCGGCCTGATCCAGAGTATGCGCAGCCCAGCGCACGGTATCTCAAACTCATCACGGACGGGGCCCGCGAACATGATCTACCGCAGGACTACCAGAGGTGGCTGCAGTCGCTCCAGCCGTACACCATCACCAGTCGCCGACAGCAGATCGGACAGCTACTTTTCCTGGTCCTCGTCCTGCCACTTGTGGGTATCATCATGGGCTTGTCTCGTATCCTCGCAGATAAGGACGGCCGAATTCCAGTATGGCTGGGCGTCGCGATGGGCGGGCTCATCCACCTCTCATGGATGGCGTATGATGGCGGCTTCAAGCCCATCTTTGGGGACGGTGAGAGGACGCAACCCGTCAATGAGGATGGCAGTGCGTTGACATCTGCACGTCTGAGATGGCGGAGGTCAGGATTTGACGAGGAGAAGGCGTGTTTGCTGGGACAGGAATGATTTGGTCTCGAAGGTTTTCCTCTTCAGTAGTTCGAGTTTCTGGCGACAGCGTTGCTTTGGAAAAGCCATGTTGAATAATGGTCTCTCTGAGGTATGCCTACGAAATGATAAATAATGACGATACGTTTCATATCTTTGGAAAAGAATTCCATACTCAGAACAGCTGTGTATTCTGAAGTGAGAGTTGAAAGCCGAGCTCTAATTCCCTTTGCGGCTCTGTTGTGGTGGTGGAGGCATTGCGCAATGGCACCTCGGATTGTGCAATCGCCCCAATGAATGTGCCACTTGGCGCCCCTGTAAGACGCGGAAAGGATTTTTGATGACGGCGTAATCATTGCCTTATACGGTAGCCAAATGCGTTAAATCGTATGAATTCAGATGGTCGGCAATCTCTCGTAAGCAGGGTTTATCGTGTCCTGCGTGCATCCCTACGAGGACCCATAGCTTATAGGTCAAGTCTCGATCACCACGAATATAACCAACGAAGTTGCGCTGTGCAGACGAGATGGAGCCTCAGTCCGACAAGATAGTCATGTACAAATCCATGCTCTAATATTGAACGCCGGCTAACAATATCATCTCATGTTGCCTAGCCACCGCTCTGCCAAACCTATCCTACGGAGTGACCCTGCCTGTGCCCCTGCCTGGTATATTGACTGTCTCGACAAGAAATACATAGATCGTAAAATGCCTCAAAGAGATGCCTGCTGGAACCCGTGTGCCGACCTAGCGACCAGGTTCGGGATATCATCAACCTCGTGCCTGCCTTCCAGTATGCCTGTGAAATAATTAGATTGAAGCTTGGCCATGATTCACCGCGAAACACTTACCAATGACCGCAGTGAAAAGCGGATACTCCTTCTCGAGCCCCCTAGTCTTCAAGAAGCTGTTGACCTCCTTCGCCGTGGTCGTACCCTGTAGCATCTGGCCATTGAGCTCCGTCTTCTCGATCTCCTCCACGCTGACACCTCGCTCTACGGCCATCTTGGCGCACTTGAAGTTACGACCGCCCGAGCAAGAAGTGATCAGATCGGCCACGCCGGCACTCTCTTCTGTGAATGTAGCTGTCTGCACTGTCTGGCCAAAGAACTCCTTGCCAAACTTGACCATCTCCATTAGGCCTACTCTCATAATGGCCGCCTTTGCATTATCTCCCCAGCCCCTGCCGTCCACGAAACCAGCAGCCAATGCGACGATGTTCTTCAGAGCTCCTCCTAGCGATACACCTGCCACATCGGACACCATTGAAACGTGGAAGTAAGGGCGGTGGAAGAGCTGCGCGAAGGTCTCGTGGTCGAGGGGCGGGTAGTCGGAGGGGAGCGGCGTCAGCTGGGTCTTGGAGGCCCGGCCCCTCGCGTCCTTGTGCTGGAGGCTCGGGTCGGCGGGTGTGACGGAGAGGTCGAAGCTCGAGGCGGCGGGCGACTGCGACCGCGACGGGTTACGGGAGGCGTCCATGGGCGGCGGGTCGTAGGCAATGGTCGTCTCGGACCACTTCTCCTGTGCGATCTCGCCAGCAATGTTCGCGCCGGACAGCGCGCCGCAGTAGATGCCGAGGCCGTCGCCGATCCACTCGGAGAACAGCGAGATGCCATCGTCGGACACGTTCACGCCCTTGATGCAGGAAATGCCTCGTGCGAAGGGTAGGATGTGGCCCTTGAGCTGCTTGGAAATGTTACCGATAAACTGGTGGGGCAGGTTGAAGATGAGGACGGAAGAGTTCTCCACGGCAGCCTGTAGCGAGGGGTTCGCGACGACATTGTCGGGCAGCTTGATGCCGGGCAGGTACTTGACGTTCTCGTGGTACTTGTTGATGATGGAGGTGAGCTTCTGCTTCTGGTCTTTCTGGGCGGCGTCGTAGTGGGGGGAGCTGTCGGGGATGGCGATGTCCTCCTCGTACACCCACATCTGCACCTCCTCCTCGAAGATATCCGGGTGCTCGCGCGTGTTCTCGGCGACGATCTTGGAAATGGTCGAGCCCCAATTGCCGGAGCCCACAACCGTCACCTTGTGCTTCTTACTATGTGACGCCCCGAGGGTTGCCATGGTCTTCTGGTGCAGGTACTCCTGCTGCTTCAGCCAGTACTGGTGGTGCAATTGGCCGCAGGGGCGCTGGATGGCTTGTAGGACAGGAGGAGGAGGAGTGACCCGTGGGGGCATGAGTGAGAGCAGGTGTTGCGAGGTGACGATTACTTGTTCCCTTCCAACGACTTGCAAGAATGACACAGGAGACAGCGAGCAGCAATCAATTTTCTTGTAGTAGCTGGAGATCCTTTTTCGTCTCGCACGTGCTGACCGAGGATATTGAGGCGTCTGCCCCGTGCCCGGTTTAGCTCGTTCCCCCAGCGGGCTTGCTCTGGCAGCTCCCCCGCCAAAACTTGGAGCTTTAGTGACGCAACTAGCGGCAGAACGCGCTGACCGCCTACTGGTTGAGGAAACTGCCCCAAAGTCCCTTCTGGATCCTCAACAGAAGCATTTGTTTATGCCCGACTCCAGCCGCGGCTCGGGTCATGTTCAGATGGATTGTATATTGTCACTGGTCTTTATAGGGAGTTCTTGTCTATTTCTATTAATATGTAAGATTATGTAATAAACTCTTCTGACTGAGGGTCGTCATGTGAAGAGAACCTTGATGCTCTTCGAAGTTAGTCTAGCCCTTGGCGCAAGTAAGGTGCAAGTCGGCGCATGTGATTTGCTAATTCAGAAGCTAGAGACCCTATGCTGAGGTATTAAAAGGCCAAGCTTTCCCCGCTGTACAGGCTGAATAAGTTCCAATAGTTGGCCAGACTTTCAATCAGCAACGTACCAGCCCAAATAGTATAGTGGCTAGTACATCACGTTGTGGTTCGATTTCTTCTGGACCCGTGAGGACCCATGTTCGATTCATGGTTTGGGCACAAAAGCCTGCTTAATACAGGCAACGTGAAATTTTTTGTTACTTTTTTGCATTTTTTTTTGTCGATTTTGAAATCAAGATCTAAACGTTTTCACTTGTTTGAGGGATGGGCGCCGAAACGCCATGAGTTCCAGTTCACAAGGACGAGTTCACACATGAACTGGACCCGATATTTTGGTCGGTTGTCTCTCTCATTGTACGCGTCTTTGAGACTTTACTCAAGACTATTGAAAACCCGACCTGTCACCTGGAAATATGAGCCGGCGGTAAGCAAGAAATGCCGCTCGTTGACACACGCAATGCATGCATTCATGCCTGCATACTGCCGCTCAAGTGCTCTTACAAAAGGCACGAGGGGCACTTGGATGCGGATTACATCACGATGCATAGCTACAGGCCGCGCGGGACAGGGGCAATAGGGCACTCGGGCCTGTGAAAACACCCATGATGAAACAGGCGGTCAGCGCCGCTATAGCATCGGAGGGAGAGTACTGGATTAAACTGCTTGCCAGTCTTTCCTCAGGGAGGCGGAGAGTGTTGAAAAAGGTAAGAGTTACCAAGAAGGAGAGCTGACCATTCAGTGTTTCAATTTCATTTGTCGCGCCACATAGTCTCTTCACCTAGGTAGATGCCTAGGTAAGATCTGAACACAATAGAGCCTCCCGCTGTCGCGGTAGCGATGGGAGTCATATGTGGTGATGTTCAGGAACGGGCAGTGTGGTGGGTGCCGATCCAAGGAACGAGCCGAAAAGACAGGCCCAAATATGGGCAGCCATCCCTACATCCTCGTGCGAGTTACCGGTATTTGCCTACCCCCGAGCCTACCTCTTAGCTCAGGGTCGGACATTGCCATTTGTCGTCTCTGATGCAGATGCCGCCATGCACTTTTCAAATTGCCTAGCACAAAAGCCAAAAGCCATTCTCAGATCAGTGACGTAATTGAGGGATAGCCCACGAGACGCTAGGACGAGACGGGCAGGCTGAAATTGGCAATGGGTTCCGTGGCCTGCGTGGAGTTTTCCCGCCAGGTACACGTGCAGTGCAAGACTGTATGCACTCAATACAGGGATCAGAGCATCGATTTCTACAATCATCCATACTTCCAACTGGGTGTGATGACTTGAAACGTTCCAATGGGAATCTAGTCCCATGATTTCTTACATTCTGAATTACAGTGTACATTCAAGGTTGTTGGCAATGGCTTCAGCTTATGTTGACTGAAGTGAGGAGGCCGCCATAGGACAGCTCCTGGGTGGTAGGTACTGTACCTAGCTAATGAGCTGCTGTACGATACTGTACCCAAGCTGCCAAGGTACCTGGGAACAGCTAGGTAGACATGCCCAGATGGATTGCCTACAACATGGCTTATTATCATGTCAACTTCAACCTGCAACGGCGCCTTGGTTCGATGGGCCAATGGCGACACGAGCTCGTTGAGTGAAGCAGAAGCACCGCCTAGCGAACGCAGTACCTGGCTGCTACTCTGTATCAGATGAGAAGATGGAGTGAAGAGAGTTGGGGTTTGAGCTTGTTTCTTCCCGCCATTTCTAAGTGAGAAAGAAGCGTAGTGCGCCTTACTATGCAGTAAGCATAATCGAGCTAATATCGCCCAGCTCTGTCCCTCCCAAAACTTCCCATCAGCGTCATAGCTAAGGTAGCCATCTCATAGAAGCTCCGCAGTGGGCTGGCCGCTCTCAGGCCTTTCCGATGAAGATAATTCACTCTCCCGGACAACATACCTACCCGCCCGCGGGTCGCACCTGCCTTGCTCTGTCCTGCACTATTGATTTCCTTACTGTTGACCTAGCAGCCTAGGTACCCAGGGTACCTACCTAGTCTAGTTCTAGTAGACTAGTAGTTTAGTAGTTACGCCTGCAGCACCGACCATCTGGGCAACTGCCATCATACTTTTCACCGTTTGTCACCATCCGGCCAACCAACCAACCAGCTCTACGCTTACTTCAAATTTCTTGCCTACCACAACCAAGCTATTGCCGATCAAAGACTCTTCTCACCTTTTCCCTTGTCTGTGATTCTTCGATCCTCAAATCGCTTCCTAACGACTTTAATTTCCTCGCCGTCAGTCTCAATTAGCGTTGCATCATCACTACTACCGCTTTGGCTCCTGAAACTCGGCCCCGCCGCCCCTCTACCGCCGCCTATCCACTTCGCTGTGACGATCGCGATCGCCCTGCGCCACACTTGAATGCCCCAGCACCAGCCGCCGCGGGGCAAACGAGTTGAGCTTAGAGAGCTGTCCCCTCTGGGTCCTCTCTCTCTTTCTTTTCCTCCATCATGATACCAAGAACCATGATTTCCAACGAGGTATACCTCTTGGAGCTCAACGACGACGGCTCGCCCAATGTCCCCGGCGAGTACGTCTACATTGCACCCAAGACGCGCGATCCGGTCACCATCCGCTTCACAATCGAGGGCACGTCCAGCATAACTCGTCATGGAAGTCTCTGGGTAAATATCCCGGCGCAGGGAGTGGACTTCCAGAGAAACAAGTTCACAGAATACAAGTAAGCAAGTCCTCGCCCAATCTGTTTCGAGACATAATCAATTGACAAGATGACGCAGACTGGTGCCCAATTTCACTCGAAACCTCGAGGTCTCGATACCTATTTTCGTCCCAGGCGCATACTCCTACTATGTCACATACAATCCCCTCCCAGAGCTCTCAAAGAGCTTGAAATCGAGCGCTCCATCACAGGTCGAGGAGCAGAAGTCTCCGCTCTACTACATCGATGTCGCACCACGTCTCACCCTGGACGGCAGGCCATTGCCATTGCCGGCACTGTCGACCTTTTCCATCATCAGCAAGTTCATGGGCAAGTATCCGACTGATTGGGAGAAGCACCTTCGGGGGATAAGTGAGCGTGGCTACAACATGATCCATTTCACCCCTCTGCAAGTTCGTGGCGAATCCAATTCGCCATACAGCTTGTACGATCAGCTGGGATGGGACCCCGATTGCTTCCCGAATGGTGAGCCAGACGTCCAGGCCATGGTAGAGAGCTTGGAGAAGAACCATTCGCTGTTGAGCTTGACTGATATCGTCCTCAATCACACCGCGAACAACAGCGACTGGCTGCTCGACCACCCCGAAGCTGGCTACAACCTGACCACAGCTCCTCATCTTGAATCAGCGTATCTGCTTGACACAAAACTTCTCGAGCTCGGCTATGAGTTGGAGAAGCTTGGCCTGCCGACAGAACTGAAGTCTGTCGATGACCTCATCCAGATCATGGATGCCATCAAACAAAAGGTCCTCGCTACAATCCGATTGTGGGAGTACTACACGATCAATGTGGACCGTGACGCTGATGCTGCAGTCAAAAGCTGGCTTGATGGAGATGCCGAGTTTCCTGAAGGCTCTGTTGGTGCCAGTGGACCTGATGGTCTCAAGTCTGCAAGTATAGAGGACCAGGCCGCATTTCTGAAGAAGAATGGCTTCCTGGGCGATGATCGCATGGGGGAGCGGTACAGACGGAGGATAGACCCTGCGGTTGGAGCTGCGCTGCTATCCGCCATCTTCGGAAAGTACGATGGCGATAAGGGGGAGAGCGTAGACAAGGCTGCTGCCCGGGCCGCAATAGTCAAAGTTCTCGACGTCGTCAATGTACCTTTATATCGGGAATACGACGACGAGGTTGCTGAGATCCTTCAACAGCTCTTCAACAGAATCAAGTATTGCCGCATAGATGAACACGGACCCAGAATGGGCCCCATCACTCGCGGTAGCCCCCTCATTGAGAGCTACTTCACACGCCTGCCCGTAAATCACCGGACTTCGAAGCACAAGAAGGAAGACTTGGTCTTGGTCAACAATGGCTGGGTTTGGGGAGGCAATGCTTTGGTGGACAATGCAGGGCCTCAGTCCCGTGTCTATTTGCGACGAGAGGTCATTGTCTGGGGCGATTGCGTCAAGTTGCGATACGGCAGGGGCCCCGAGGACAGCCCTTACCTCTGGGAACATATGACAAAGTATAGCCGAACATTGGCAAAGTACTTTCATGGTTTCCGAATCGATAATGCGCATTCCACTCCTATTCACGTGGCCGAGCACATTCTGGACGAAGCTCGCCGAGTCCGTCCTGACCTGTACAGTGTTGCCGAGCTATTCACCGGTTCAGAGGAGATGGATTATGTCTTTGTGAAGAGGCTTGGCCTCAGCTCCCTCATCCGCGAAGCAATGCAAGCATGGAGTACAGGAGAGCTGAGTCGGCTTGTTCATCGCCATGGTGGCCGTCCCATCGGTAGCTTCGAGGTGGACGAGGTCTCCAAGGCTGACGTCAAGTCTCCGACTGTTGAAAATGGCGACCCATGGAACGTCGAGCATTCTCGCGAGATCATCCGTCGCATTAAACCTGTGCCTGTGCAAGCTCTATTCATGGATTGCACACATGACAACGAGGTCCCTGCACAGAAGCGAGATGCTAGAGATACACTACCCAACGCTGCCCTAGTCAATATGTGCGCAAGCGCTACTGGCAGTGTCATGGGATATGATGAAATATATCCTAAGCTCATTGATCTTGTTGGCGAGACAAGACTGTATACTTCTGAGTCGTCCAATCAGAGACAAATAAAGATTGGAGGAGGCAAGCATGGCATCGGAGGTGTGAAGAAATTGCTCAATCAGATTCACACACTGATGGGCAAGGATGGCTACGATGAAACGCACATACATCATGAGGATCAGTATATTACTGTGCACAGAGTCCACCCAGAGTCCCGCAAAGGTTACTTCCTGGTTGCTCACACCGCCTTCCCTGGATATGGGAATGGCAATGGAGCTCTACAGCCAATACACCTTACCGGCACAAGGGCGAGGCATCTTGGTAGCTGGATGCTTGAGGTTGACGCCAGCGAGGAGGCCAAGAAGGAGGTCCTAGAGGACAAGAAATATTTGCGTGGATTGCCCAGCCGCGTTATTGATATACCTGGGGTCAAGATGGAAATCAAGGACAACAACACCACCATTACCCCCCTTGAGAAGTTTCCACCTGGCGCTATTGCCCTCTTTGAGACGTGGATTCCCGCTGCGGAGCACTCTGCAGGCCTGGACACTTTCGTCACGTCTGGTGCCAAGGAAGCATTTGGGGAGCTCGATCTTATTGATCTCAATTTCCTCTTGTACCGCTGCGAGGCCGAGGAGCGGGATGGGAGCGACGGGAATGACGGTGTCTATGATGTTCCCGGTTATGGCAAGCTAGTCTACGCGGGTCTGCAGGGCTGGTGGAGCGTGATGAAAGATGTTATCAAAGACAACAATCTCGCTCATCCAATGTGCCAAAATCTTCGCGACGGACAATGGGCCTTAGACTACATTGTTGGACGTCTAGAGCGCGGTGCTCAAGGCCCTCATTACACTCGGCTGGGCAAACCTGCCGTATGGTTCAAAGAGAGATTTGATGCTATTCGCAAGATTCCTGGCTTCCTATGTCCTCGCTATTTTGCACTGATTCTGCGAACTGCGTATATGGCTGCTTGGGATCGCGGTATCTCTCTGATGAACATCAATGTGCAGCAAGGACAGTGGTTCCTCCAGAGTTTGGCGATGGTGAGCGTGCAGGAGACTGGGCTTGTCAAGTCTGGTTCATTGTATCCCACTACACTTGTCCCGTCGCTCGCAGCCGGTCTCCCACATTTCGCTGTTGAGTGGGCAAGATGCTGGGGCCGGGACGTTTTCATCTCGCTGCGAGGTTTGTTCCTCGGGACGGGACGCTTTGATGAGGCAAAGGAACACATACTGGCGTTCGGCAGCGTGTTGAAGCACGGCATGATTCCCAACCTTCTTGGCTCTGGAAGAACGCCTCGTTACAACTCCCGTGACTCGATCTGGTTTTATCTACAGTGCATACAGGATTACACTCGACTGGCACCGGAGGGACTCGACTTGCTCAAGGCGACGACCAAGAGGCGCTTCTTGCCTTATGACGATACCTGGTTCCCTGTTGAGGATTCGCGCGCTTATTCAAAGGAGAGCACAATTCAAGACATCATCCAAGAGGCACTTCAAAGACATGCTGAAGGGATGTCATTCCGCGAGGCAAATGCTGGCCCGCAGATTGACTCCCAGATGAAGGATGAAGGATTCAACCTTTCCATGCATGTTGACTGGAGCAATGGCATTCTTTTTGGCGGAAACCAGCACAATTGCGGTACATGGATGGACAAGATGGGTGAGAGCGAACGTGCTGGCTCCAAGGGCGTTCCCGGAACCCCTCGTGACGGTGCCGCTGTTGAGATCACTGGCTTACTTTACAGCTGCTTGAAATGGCTTAGTTCTTTGACATCACAGGGCAAATATCCTTACAATGGTGTTAAGAAAGCGGATAAGTCTGAAATTACGTGGCGTGAATGGGCAGACCTGATCAAGGACAATTTTGAACGGTGCTACTACGTTCCGCTGTCACCCGATGATGACACGAATTACGACGTGAACACAAAGATTGTCAATCGACGTGGTATCTATAAGGATCTCTACAGGTCAGGAAAGGAGTACGAGGACTACCAGCTACGGCCAAACTTCCCCATTACGATGACCGTTGCTCCCGACCTGTTCGATCCCGAACATGCTATCAATGCGCTTGTTCTCGCGGATACTGCTCTTAGGGGACCGACCGGCATGGCAACGCTGGATCCAGCTGATCTCAATTATCGTCCATACTACGTCAACAGTGAGGACAGCGACAACTTCGCGACGAGCAAGGGTCGCAACTATCATCAAGGTCCAGAGTGGCTTTGGCCCACAGGCTTCTTCCTCCGTGCGCTGTTGAAGTTTGACTTGGAACGACGAGACAAGAACGACCATGAGGGACGCACCGAGGCCTTCCAGCAGGTTACCAGACGCTTGATGGGATGCAAGAAGATGATCGTGGAGAACCCCTGGGCCGGACTTACTGAGCTGACCCAGAGGAATGGCGAGTTCTGCAGTGATTCTGTAAGTACCACAACATTTGGCTAACATCATGAACGTGTGCTAACCCCCTAATCCAGTCTCCCACACAGTCATGGTCGGCTAGTTGCCTGATCGACCTGTACATGGACGCCGCTGAGGAGCAGGCCAAGACTGGAAAGTTGTAGGGACACCGAAAGTCTTTGGCCGACGTTGCCCACCGGGTTGCTGGTGCGATTGAACCTCACCACATCGTCAGTCGCATGACAGGCGCGTTCCATCGCCACGTTACTCACCATCCGTAAAACAGGTGCGATAGACCATATCCTCAGGAGAGAGGGCATAGAGCGATAGACGAAAGTGAAAGAGAAAGAGGAAGAAGAGGACGGGGTGGGCGGGCATGCATGACAAAAATGAAAGAATGAAAGAATGGCATGATTTAGAGGGTTCCGTTTTGTTCCTTTTTCCTTTTCCTGATACTCAATACCAAGCAAGCATACATACATACATGGGCCAGCACTAGGAAAACATCGGGAGTTTTTGTTTCGTTCTTTTGTCTGTGGCGATACGGCAGAACGGATCCGGGTCTGGTGGCTCCTGTCCATAATACATAGATCCTAAAGCACACGTGTAGAAAGCATTCAATAATATCCTCCAATGAACGCACCATTGGAGCAGAATCAGAAGCAGAGTCAATGGTCAGAGCGAGTGTGAAGCACCGGGGAAAGCGAGCATTGAACAAGAGAATTATCATTCCAGGTACGGATATAGATGTGGATATGTAAGTTTTAAAGTTAACAGACCGGCCGTGATTGATAGACTTGACAACAGAACCGCCTAGGACGACTCTGTACTGATTCTATTCGCCTTCCCGCCCCCCTTTCCTGCTTTCCCATGCCCAATTGCACACAAACAGACACTCCACAGACCTGTCAAGATCTTGACTTTGTCAAGGAAAGATGAGATCATCATCTTGGGGGTTCTTGAAGCTAAGAGCACAAAAAAATGGTTGCATTGCCAATGGACCATCCTGAAAGATCCAGGAATAATGAAATATGATACGCCCATCCAGATGAAACGCCTGCCCGTTTTAGAGATATATCAATGAATAGTGGATGGATGGATAGGTCGGATGGATAGCTGAAAATGACGCCGTAAGTAGGTGGTATGAAGTAAAAATGTCGTTTCTCTTCATGGCTCTACTCTTTTGCCGTTCATGTCCTCTCGGTGACAATCCACTTCTTCTTCTCCTTTGTTTTCTTAGGCTTCTCCTCGTAAACGTTGGCGGTGGAGATGGAGGCGGGCATGAACATGCCAGGCTTGGGCATGTGGACGGAGCGCTGACTCTGCTGAGCGGAGCCGCTGCCGCCGTGGCCGTAGGGGTTGGTGCCGGAACGGGTGGTGGCCGCGAGGGTCTTACCCAGGGCGTACTGTCGGTCCTTCTTGCGCAGGTAATGTCTCCTCCAGATACATGCGCCGATCCAGATGCCTGCGATAGCAACGACGACGACAACCAAAAAGACAACCCATTTCCAATGGTTAGAAAGCCTGGTTGAATATGTTAGAAAGGCGTCGACACTTGCCCGGAAGGCTAAGGATCAGCTTACCAATCACCACCACCACTTGAACTGCTTGAGCCAGATTTGCTGCTGCTGCTGCCCGCCGTTGATGTGGAGCTTGATGAGCTGCCTGTAGTTGTGGCCACAGCTTTCACATCATTGCACATGCTGGTAAACCAGCTTTGAATACTGGAAAGTCCGCCAGCGTCGGCCGTACATGCGCTGTCGCAAACACCAGCGGTGCCTGTCTTGAAGGGTGCCAGATCGGCATAGTTACAGAAGCACGAGGTGTAAACTGATGCGGCGGCGGTGGTGGCGGCGGGTGGCACACAAGCTCCGTTGGCGTCGTAAAGGTGGCCGCAGAGGGTCGCGCACGATGGCAAGGCCGCGAAGGGCGGAATAGTGGTAACAGGATCACCTACAGTAGGCGATGGTCAGTAAACAAATGACCCAAGTCGAGATGAAGTCAGTAGAGAGGATGCGCGGATCGACGGTGCAGACAGGATCCTGTCACGCTATGTCTTGGCAGCGGAGAGAGGTGGGGAGTAATGTGGTGGAGTGAAGTCCGTGGATTAACGTACTCATTGTGAAGATAAATCGACGAAGCTAGAATCAGAGGTAGGATCTACAGAACGAATCGTTGAATTTGTGACACAAATTGTAGTTGGCAGGCCTTGTCGAGGGTCCAGAAGGGCCAATTTCCTTTTTCTTTTTGCACCGTTGTTCGGCGTGTAATACAAGCTTGCACGGCTGAAAAGCCTCAATTTCAATGCTGACAATCACCAGATTGGTCCGTCTCCTAACATCGGTACAAATTCGACTTTTGCAGATGTGTAGTTTCCGCCAGAGCGTATATGACGGTCCTATTCACGTCGCGTCAGGGGCGGACGGCGTGTGATGACGAGGAGGAGTGAATTGGGACGTGAATGTCGGGTAGGAGGCGTCGACCGGGGTGTTTCGTGGTGGTGGTGTCGCCCGGATTGACTGGCTGCCCGTGCAAGTGAGTGAAATCGGCGGTGTATCCCTTGACTTGCTCGGTCGGATCGGTGGCTTCAGGAGAAGCGATGCCGTGTCGATAGAAGTACCATTCACCGCAGAGGAGCAAACGAGCGTGGTGGTGAGGGTATTCGGCGAGGCGGAGGCGTGAGTGCGTTGGTGGTAGGATTAGAGTTGTGAGAGTGGGAGACGGGGAGAGGAGAGAGGAGGAGGAGCAGAGGCGACGGAAGAATTCAAGGGAGACGGAGATTGGCGTGGCTGACGAGTGCTACACCTACACTGCACAAACTGCAGGTGCGGATGAGCGCCACACTTGGCTGGAGGACGAAAGGAAGGCACCATCCATCGACTAGTAGGTACCTACTGCCTACTATGCAGTAGTCAAGTTATGGGATGCTGCTGACTGAGTGACGGGGACTCCATGCCTTCCTTCCCTTTAGTGCTGCGGAGCCTGGGAAGGCACAGGCCATTTACAGGCCACTTCAGAGTCTTCCACGGATGCCGGCTCCAAAATTGGCACCAAAAACGGGGCGGCTGACCAGCCCTGGCCAACCATTTCCTCTGAGATCGACCCCGGCCGGGCTTGGCCCACCTTGGCTTAGCCTTGGCTCCTCGTAACCAAGGAACCGCGTAACTCTGGGTCGCTCTTGCTTTCTTCACAGATGTGGCTGGTGCATCGCGTGGTCAAGTTGTCCTTGCACTGGCAGCAGAAAAGAAAATCATACCGCTCCGCCAAATGGATAGCGCCAATAGGTTTCGAACCATATTCGGTATAACAACTACCCGGAGTCACCAGCAGCTGGCACTGACACACCCTTTTCCAGCACTCAGTCCCGCGTAACGTTAGTAGCCGTCAGACATTCAGCGGGTGGGAGCCTAGAAACCTGAAATGAAGAGAAAAAAGAAATACGATGAGAGACATGCTTGAGGTGATGAATGCCCTTGTACTTTCTGTCTTGAAGAGACTCAGAAACCTCGTATTAACTAGAACCCTAGTTAAGGTGTACTTTGTTTGCATGATTGCCGCCAATAAGGTAGGTACGTTCTTCGCGTTCCCGCCCTTTCCCATCATCTCCGCAATCTCTCTCCAGGTTCTTGACCCTCCAGCGGTCATCCCTCATCCCTCCATCCTTCCATCCCTCCCACCCGTCGTCCGTGTTCGCGTCGTGTCGTTCCCGCGCTAGTAAGCACCCCAGGGCTGTCACCCATCACATGATATGATATGGCGATATGGCGATATGGTGCCATTTGCCCGCCAATTCAAGATTCAATGCCCTCGTCCATCGTGAATATATTCGGTCCGTGCCCAATGCGTGTATTTCCCCTTTCGTACGGCACAGATTTCAAAGCGTAGGGATTTGGCAATCGGGCCACTTCATATTATTAGCAGTGAATGCATCTCCAACGCGTACAGTACTGCATTAGACCTGCAGCACCAAGGCCTGCCTTGACGTCACACAAATCCCTTGGTTCTGGCAAGGGCACTTTGAAGCAGTCCAGTGCTTCTTCAACGACCAGGCAGGGATGTCGCCCAAAACGACCTTGACAAGCTATCGAAACATGAATCGATTGAACTAGCAAAATGCCACACTCAGTAGAAACAGCAGAAACTCCAATACATGATGTTGAGCAATCTAGCCTATGGTCCCGTCCCAGCCAATCCCTGTGCGCCGAACTCAGGCAGTCTGTGAAGAAGCTCACGTGTGTCTTCTTCTCCTGTTCTCGTTCTGGCCAACATTGCCTGCTGATTCGCCGCGTCTAGCCTCCATTGAGAGGCGACGTCTGGCGCCTTGGACAAGACACCTAATCAAGCTCTCGTCGTCGATGAAGACGCTCCCGATATAAAGAAGCACTTCCCCCGCGTCAGGCTGGACTCTATGAGGGAGCTGCACTTCCCCAGTCTCCACGGAATGGCCCTGCGAGGGATGAGCCGTGCCGGCGCCCGTCGAGGTGACGGGCTGGTCCTGTGGGACGATGGAGTGGTCTCGGGGGTAGAGGAACCTCCCAAGCTCTGCGCTGCGCCTTACGCCTGTTAGGTTACTATCCAGTGATATGTGGGAGGCAGGTGGTGGTGTCTGACGGTGGTGTTGTGCCTCGTCGCCGTTGACTGAGGTGGTCGTTGATGCGCGAGCTTGGTGCCGTCCATCACTGCTGGCCAGTCCGTTCGTCATGCTCGGCTCTGGCTGCTGTCCATTAGGCTGATTGCCTGAATTGTCTCGGTTTGAGACCGCCTCAGGACACTGCTTCTCTTCGTCAGCATATACCGAGCATGTGTAGGAACAGCATGTTCACCGGATCTGATGCCATCCTGCTGTACTTGCTGCTTTTTTCTTGTATGATCTTGTCTAGTTTGGTGGCCGGACGTCGTTGATGATTGTTTTGCTATAACATCTACACAAGAGCGGTTGGCTTCAGCAGGACAAGTTGAGCCAACTTATAGCACTCCCATGAGAGAGTGGACCCACTCCAAGATGCCATCGTGACTTGCATCAGTGACGTCCCGATGGAGTCTCTGTGGCCATTGAGAATGGTGTCCTTGTTTATGTAAGGAGAGGACCACGCTGATGGACTCGCATTGCCTATTTGAGACAATACGATAATGCAGCACGTGTTGGACGGTTCCAGAGGAGAACATCCGCGAGGAAGACTGTCCCCGTGAGCAGCCTAGAAGCATTCTGATACGGCCAACGGAGATTCGAGAAGACTCGGGCTGTTTCGAGTCACGCTTCTGTTACAGGCAGTTCTTCGCTATGACAGGAAAGATCGCCCAACGGGGCGAGGTTTACTCGGGAGGAAGGCGTTTAATACCTCATACAGCTTGCTGAGAGGGATAAACACGCGAAAGGCTTGGCCGGACTGTTTCCTGTTGCTATTTGTGGCAAATCGAGATCAGTCTCGTGGCCTTCAGGAACTCCACAAGGCTCTTTTATTTGAATGGTCGCTTGACGAGCGAGCCTAGAAGCCTGAGGGTGGGACCCCTGGTGTAGCCTTATCGGCAGAACGTTGCATGGCGCATCGGGACTCGCATGCCACTGATGAGTGCCCTCAGATGACGATTTAGGACGTCATTCCCGAGCTGTCGGGTCCAGGGCCTATGTACCATGGGCCATCGAGGACCTAATGATACGTATCAGGCAGCGCATGTCATTGGACCAGGGCTCCTTTTCCGCGGAGACCGAGATGGGATGACATTACGAGCATGGGATGGAGAACATGAACCGAGTGCGGGCTCTAAATCGATGTCTCTTCCCCAGGATTGCGTGGTGCAAGCGATCGGAATTGACGTGCATGTGGTGTTGCGTCATGGACTTTCCCGGGCGTAAGGCTGTGACTGTGCCCCAGTTGAACCAAGTAATTCAAACTATCTATGTAACTCAATAGAGAAGGTTAATAAAGAGGAGCTGGGCAATGACCTATACAGCAAAAACAGAAATGATCGCTCGCTGTGATAGCTCATAATGTTACCAGCATCGCACTTCGTCTCCTTGAAGTGAGGCTTCGAGAGGGAGGTGAAAAACCAATCCCAACTCACTTCTCACCGTTTATCACTGGCGATTTTCAACGGCAATCACACGATGCTCGGCGTCATTATGCGTCCAAGCTGTGCGAAAAATTGCCAGCGGTCTTGCATAATTGTGGCGAATATGGTTGCCTTTTATTGCCTTCTTTCCGGTGGCGGATCAAGCCAATGCAGCAGCAGTCTATCCGGCTATCCTGTGAGGCTGACACCATGGCTACAGCCCTCGACCCGGGTCACTTGGTCACCCCTCTGCGTGTCCTCCCCTGGGCGTCGTAGGCCACTTCGAGGGCCTGCCACCTCCTTGGCCTCAGGTGGTTAAGCAAAGTGTACAGCGACAGGAGATAGCAGGACGATCATGCTATCTTGGACATATGAACTTCAAAGACAGTGCCTACTTGCAAGTTAAAAAGGCAACATTGAGTTGGGGGAGCATGGTCTTACCCCTGCCAGCAGTCAGGTGACTTATTTGCTATTACTTACTTCATTTTTACTCGCTTCACTTAGCTATCATTACACAGAATAACAAGAATGGCTACCCCCTTCATTCTCAATACGTTCTTTTTGCCCTGGAGGCTTCTTTTTGTGTGTGTGCTATATGATATCTTGAGTGGGTGTTGGTCAGCGGTAGGCACTGCTGCCCCTGTTTCAACATAAGGAAGATACCTGAGAAAGAATAGAGACAGCATACCATGATACCCATACGCTAGAAGGAGGTCAAGATTTCGTGTACGTCTGTTACGGTTAAGATAGTCGTGCCTCTGGCACAGCTAGACCAAATACTGGTACAGCCAGATGGCCTCAACCGTAGCAGGTAGCTAATAGATACCTTACAACGTAAGGTCAACTATTATCATAGTAGCCAGCTAGAGAGAGCCTCTTACTAGAACTGGTGTGTTCTGTCAGAGTATTTAATCGAGTTGTTCTCTCTTGAAGTTGAGAGAGGTAATTGAGAGCTATATAATAGACTGCCTATATAGTGGCTAGGTAACTCATAATAGAGTTAGACTGATGTGATTTTATTCTCACTTTATGAACGTTTAATAGGGTTTACGTGAAGCTTCTATATGGT